AAAAGGAGCCAGGATGGCAGGGAAAGAGGCATGTGGAACACGGTCTGGGGTCTGGGGAGGGCGTCCAAGGGGCGGCAGGAACCTGGAGATCTCTCCAGCACAAGGCCCAGCTCCCAGGGAACCGATGTGGAAAACCTACCCGCCCTACCTTGGGAGCTCCTGAAGGCTGTGTGTGTGTCTCCATCTCTCCAAGCAGGACCGCATCAACAGCAAGAAGCAGAAGGCAAAGGATGACAAGAAAATACTGAAATCTTCAAGTCGGGACAGGCTTTCCTCCGACGACCCTGCCCCTGACAGCACCGTTCCTTCCCATGAACCCATAGATCCCCTGGTCAAGGAGAAATATATGCGGAGGATGCACACAGAGGTGAAGGGAGGAGCCCAGTAGCCAGCCTCCCCTCCCCCACACCTCCCTCCCCCTGCGTCATTCATTCCATTTATTCCCCAAATGAGCTCCTGCTCCATCAGTGATGGAGGCAGAGCTGCCTCATGAGGGGCATCCTAGAATGTAAGGCTGCCCTCATGCATGCGTGCGTGTCAGGAGATGAGCACTGTGACAAAGACCATGAATCGGGGTTGGCCAGGGGCAGGGGCCTCCCTGAGAAGGTGACACCATAGAAAGGCTTGAAGAAGGGTGAAGGGTAGCTAGAAATGTGTCCTAGGCAGAGGAAGCAACTCTTGCATTGGAGGGAGCAGGCCAGTGGAGTAGGCCACTGGAAGGCACATGGGGTGGCCACATGGGACTTTGTTGCCTATTGGGAGGACTCAGGATTTTCTCTGAGAGACTGAGAAATCACACAGTATCTTGAATGGAGGAGCAACATGGTATGGCTTAGGCTTTAGAAGGTCCTTCTGGCTGCTGTCAGGAAACAGACTCTAAGGGAATGGAGAACAAGGAAGCACTTCTCTTTCTGCCACTTCTACCGCTGCCTTTATGCACACCCTGGCAGAAAGGTTCCTTGGGAGAAAACTACACAGGATCATCTTTGTCTCTCTATTGCTATAACAAAGTGCCACAGACTGGGTGACTTACAAAGAAAAAAGTTCATTTTTGATTCACAGTCTGAAGACTGGGCAGTCTAAGAACCTGGTGCCAGCAAGGGCCTCGCTGCTTCAACTCATGGTGGAAAGCCAAAGGGCAAGAAGGCAAAACACAGGAGTCTCATTTATAACCAATCCAGTCCCAAGAGAGCTCACCCACCCCCCAGTACTGGGAAAATCCAGGGCTTTTGGTCACACTAGGCAAGCATTCTACCACTGAGCTGCATCCATAGCCCCTTTTATTTAAAAAAAAAAAATGAGACAGGGTCTTCCTAAGTTGCTGAGACTGGCCTCCAACTTGTGATCCTCCTGCCTCAGTCTTCTAGGCAGTTGGGATCACAGGCACCGCCATATTGGGCTTAGAACTCTCATGCTCCTGAAGACATTATGCCTTCTCGAGGGTGGAGTCTCGTGACTTAAGTCCCACCACCTCTCAACACCTTTACACTGGGAATCAAATTTCAGAGGGGACAGGTCACATTCACACTGTAGCAAGGGTACATCCACAGGAAAGCCTTCATCGTGATCTGTTTTTAAGCAGCGGGTCCTAGGTTCTAGGTTCTGTTTTCTTTTTTGTTATTGTTGCTTGGGAGGGACAGCCACAAAGCCAGCTGGCTGTGTCAGCGAGTCTGTAGTGGTGCTTTCTCTTCCTCTGATGTGGACAGTTGGGAGTGAGGCTTACATCACTGTGCACTGTGGTAACACTCCAGATCTCATTTGATCAGAAGTTCCAATTGCTGCTGGTGACGTTACTGAGATTTCCGATGATCGATGGGGTCTAGAAAGGAATTAAAGGGCTCTGAGAACTCATGGGGCAAACTCTTCCTTAGCTCTTTGATATTAAAAATCAAATTGCTCAGGCTTGTGTGGTCCAGCCTAGTGGGGGACAGTCTTGGACTCCTTTCAGTATCTGCATCTATGATCTTACAGGAAGACAAATTGGCCTCCAGGGAGGTAGGAGTGGAATTGAGACTGAGCCCAGCCCCACCCTTGAGGGGCTAATGGGTGCTGCTCCCTGGGCTCTCTGGAGTTGCCCTTTTAACATCTGTAGGCTCCCAGAGCCCCCGGGGCAGGATTACCTCCCCCAGTAGGTCTGAAAAATAAAATTGTTTGCAAAAAACAGAAATTCTATAGAAACTCTTGAACTTGGTTCTCCTCTTTCCATCTCTTCTAGCATCTCTTGACTAATAGCTACCTTTCTGTCAGGTCTCCACAGAGCAAGCCCTTGCCTGTGACATCTGTCCTGTTCTTCCAGGTCTTGGAACTGCTGAATGTCCTAGTGACTGACCTGATGATCTTGGCTGACGAGCTCAGCCCCATAAAGAACGTTGAGGAATCTTTCCATCTCTGCAGCTGACTCTCGGGTCCATGTATCCTCCTGGGAAACTGGCTGATAAGTTAATAAAGAACCTTTAGGCTTCTACCACTTCCCCTGTGCCTCTATGTCTTGGTGTTGGATCTCAAGTGAGGTCAGCTCATGGCCCAGGTGCTCCCATGGCCCACCTGCCCCGATTCCCCTCTGCCCTGCTCCTGGAGCCATCCCCTCCCGGGAGGTAATATAGAGAGCATGAACAGAAGCACAAATTGGTAGCAGGACAAGGAATGAAATCAGGTGACAGGACAGATAGCATCACTTTCGTAGTTCCTGCTCCAGTCTGTCTTGGTTCTAAAAAGGATCATGCTTCTTGGAGCCAGGTCTTCCAAAGTGTCATCACCAAGTGTGATAAAGTGTGAGATTAGGAGAAGCAGAGCCCATGGGACCTGGCTCCTTGAGATCTCCCACTTCAGTTGGCCTCAGAGTCCAGTCCCCAAGAAGACACTACCACACCTCCTAGACCCTGGAGGGCAGACCCCTTTGTCTTCAGCCAGAGATTATTCTGGAATCTGTTTTCTCCCCGCTTTATGTTAAAGCAGCTGGCCTGACTTCACACTGCCTTCCCTGTATAGATGATGTGAAATGAGCTGAGGTCCCTGATCAGACCCAGCACCACAGGGTTTTCTAAGGGTGACACCCATGTGGGCAGGGCTCCTGAGATTGGAGGATCACTCCCTGAACTGTGGCAGAGGAGCTTGTGGTCTGATGTGCTGATGGGGCAAGACAGGTGTGGGTGGGAGATTCAGGAGTGGCTCAAAGCCCCTCATATTCACATTTGGTGTTTCCTTTTTTTTTTTTATCTTAAATTTATTTTTATTTATTTTTAAAGAGAGAGTGAGGAGAGAGAATTTTTTTTTAATATTTATTCTTTAGATTTCGGCGGACACAACATCTTTGTTTGTATGTGGTGCTGAGGATCAAAGCCAGGCCGCACGCATGCCAGGCGAGCGCGCTACCGCTTGAGCCACATCCCCAGCCCCACATTTGGTGTTTCTGATAATGACCTCATGGACTCCAGCACCCTCCAGTTGAGACCTGAGAGAAGGAGGTTCAGAGAGGGCAGGGTGCTCAGTTGGAGAGTCCTGAAGCCCCTTAGAGTGGCTGAGGAAGCCGGCTAGAAGCCCACAAAGGGACAGCCCCAGGGAATGGTCCTTCCCTCCACTTTAATGTCCTCTAGAGGAGGAGGGGTGTGGTGTGGTGGGGGTGTTGGGGAGCCCCCACCCCTGTTTCCTATTGAGGAGGTAAGGGAAGGGTTAACTCACTGTAGGATGGGAGTAGGTCCCCGGCTCCAGATCCGCACCCTGGGGGATCACCAGCAGGCAGGACTGTCTCTGAATGCCCCGCCCTCCTGGAGGCAGCAGGAAGGGGTTAACACACTGCCTGCCCTGCGTCCTCCTGTGTCCTGTTACTGCTGAGGCAGACCTGCCCGGCCAGCCAAGCAACTTTCCTCCTGAGTGCTGCGGGCTGGCCAGACTCTAGGAGGCAAACGGGCAAGAGGCAGAGCCGCAGCCTATTGGGGGACCCTGCCACCACCCTTCTGAGGGGTCTGTGCCTCCTGGGAGAGGGTGGGTCTTGGGGTCGAGGGTCCATGGTGGATGGCTCTGGAGCCACTCCCGAGGCTGTGCCATCCCCCTGCCTTGCTGGTCAGAGGGTCACTGCAGAGGCTGCTCGGGCTGGGGCTGAGGGAGCCCGCGCTGGAGGTAAGCTCCTTCCCTGGCAGCAGAAGAGCCCTCCATGACAGGTGGGGCAGAGTGGGCTTGGGGCTTGGTTTCTTTCCCAGGTGCTAGAAAGGACAGGGCTGGGCTGTAGAGGACTTGAAAGCTTCTTACCTGGGTCCCCTGTCCCTCCGAGTCACCCCCCCGGGAAAGACTCAGGGTCTCCCTCTCCATCCCAGGATTAATGTCTTTGGTGGCATCTAGCAACTTTGGTGGCACTCCTCACAAATTCTGGCACATCTCTGCTGGTCCTTCTTCCTGGGTTCCTGCTGCACGTCTAGCCCCAGGGTGACCCTCAGCCTACTTTAGTGCCCCCAGCACACAGCTGCCCCAGAGCTGACAAAACCAACAGAAGCTTAGGGCTAGCATCAGTCTCCTGTCCCTCCAGCAAAAGAAAGGTCCTGCCACTCCTCCCGCGTTCACGCTGGACCGAGGGGAGTAGAGGATGGGGAGGGGCTGCTGGCCGAAGGGGCACATGTGGACTTGAGCAAACGTGTGCATGTGACTGGACAGATCTAGGTTCTGCCCATCTCTCTGAACCCCACTCTGGGGATGCCATCTGCTTACACAGTGCTGACTTTTGGGACTCTCTCCAGGTCTCTCCCCATTCCCATCCTGCAGACCCTGAGAAGAGAAGCCCCGGCCCCCCAGTTCTCCTGAGTCGTGTGTAGACCCCTACCCTCCCCGCTGTCCCATCCCAGCCTACTCGCCCCCTCTACCTGTTCCCTCCTGCCTCCTGCCCCATCTGAATTGGCCTCCCAAGTCCTGGCTTCTCAGTGTCCTTCCCTCCACCTGACAGGGTCTGGCTCAAGGTCACTGCAGTAATTCCATACAAGCTGCCTGGGGCTGCCGCTGCCGCTGCGCCTTATCGGCAGCGGGTTTCTATTTCACTCCCTTTTATTCCTGGGCATATTGTGTTCGATAAAACCCTTTGCTTGTAACACGGCTGGCAGGGCTCCCAGCTGCTCCTCCTGACTGCCTTTCCTCCCCCCTCCGGACTCCCTTGCCTTCACTCTGCCCCCTCTTCTTCCCTACCTTGTCCCCTCAAACTCTAGGGGGAGGAGGTCAAGGCACCTCCCTTTGTTTCTGGCCCCTCTCCCACCCCAGTTCCTGTAGAGATGTGCAGAGATGCCCACCTTTTTCCTAGGAGAAAAGTCCAGGCAGGGTTGCCCGGCTACACCAGGAGGTCCCCCTCCCACTAAGACCGGAAGGAGGGCTGGAGCAGCCAGGCCCAGGTAGGGCTCTGGTGGAATCAGGATACCAGACTGGTTCTGCTAGTTCCATTGGCCAGCAGGGAGGGGCATGCACTGGGGCCAGCTTCTGAGCACAATTATTTCCCATCTTGACTCTGCCACTGCTGGCCTGCCCCGCCCCTTGGGGAGGTAAAGACAAGTCTGAGTCACTAGCAAGGGGGAGGGCAGGAGTTAAACAAGTTGAGGCCATAGCATCCCCACAGAAGGCCTACTACCAGCTGGACAGAAAGACAGACAGAAGGTAGGCAGCACTTTGGGCCAGCCACACTTCATCTTGCCTGGCTCCCACAGGATCAGATCCTCGGGGCCATGCCCTCTGAGGCACCTGGGCCCTGACGGGACTTGCCAAGGCCCGTGGGGTGCTTTGGACTGAGCTCAGCACTGGCAGCACCGGGATGGAAGGAGAGTGGCTTTGAGGGCCCTGGGAGCAGGACAGCCTTCTGAGTCCTGTCTCTGGCAGCTTGGGGACCAGCTGACACAGCCAGACTGGGGCGGAGGGTGATGTTGGGAGGTGCGATCTCCGTGGCTATCGTGATGGTATGGGGGAAGCGGAGGTTCTACAAGCTCAGCCAGTGCATGTGCCTTGTCCCTGTACCGGTGCCAGAGGAAGGGAGGTGGCAGAGAGGTTCCTCTTTGGTTTCTGATAGGGTATTGAGAGAATTTTTCTATCTTGGGCCTGGCCCTGAGGCTGGGGCAAGGGAGGGAGACTAGCCCTGATCCTCCCTGTGCTGGGCTATTAGAGGTCTTCTATGCACCCAGGGCCTTGGGAGTTTGAAGAGCCTGAATTGTCCCTGCCTTCAGGGAGCTTCTATTTTGGCTGAAAATGGAACTGAGATAGTAAAATATTCAGATTCATTAATTACCAATTTAGTAACAGGATTAATCTTATGGAAATGTAGATGTCAGCCCCAAGCCCTTCCAACTACACACCATATGATGTGAGCAGGTCACATTCCCTCTCTGGCCTCTGGGGGCGGCGAGGGGGGGGGGTAGTGGTGGCTAGATCTCTGTGACACACAGTTACTCCCACAAGCTCCTTCCCTTTGCCCTCTCTGTGGCTCCCTCTTCTTCTCCTCCTCCCCTTTGGGTCCCCAATCTTGGCTCAGCCACCATCTCCTCCAAAAAGTCTCCTCAGATTTTCCTTGCATGCATCTTCTGTTCTTCTGTGCATGCCTGCACTGGACTGTGATCATCTGTACCCTCACAACCAAATGTGGGTGAACCAACACACGTGTCCTGAGCTTGGTGTAGGGCCTGACCCAGGGAAGGTCCCAGGAACCAGGTGCTGAACAAATCAAACTATAAAAATCAGCATAGAAGGAAAAGAGGAGAGCGAACAAAGGCGGCAGGAAACCTGTGAGCAAGATCCTCCCCAGAGGGAGCCAATCAGGAGCGAGGCAGGGGAGTGGGCATCACAGCGGTCATGTTAAGGTCCTCGCTGAGGCCACCCACTCTGGGTCATCCTGGCCCCCGACTTAGCAGCTCTGTGATTTTGGACAAGCCATGGAATTCCTGAATCTCACTATCCCCATGCTTGAGTGGAGATAGTTATCATGGCATCTCTGGTGTGGTTGTGTAGATGGGTGTGCCAAGCTACAAATACCTGCTGAATAATAAGTAAAATAAGAAAAATAAAAGTGAGTGTCCACTGAAGGCTGTTCCTACCAGCTGGAACATTCTGGCTAGGCCTTTGTCAGTCAGTGCTGAGTGACCCTTGGGAGGGGAGCACTGATCCTGAGTTCCGGACCTTCTCTTCCTCAGCCCCATGTGGGACCCAAGGACACAGCCGCCCTGCTGAGAGCACGGCGGCTCGACCTTCAAGACCGTGACCTCGCGACGGTGGCCCTCGGCCCTCCACCTCCAACGGGGGCGGGGGCCGCCCACCTCCAAGTCTCCAGCCATGACGACCTCTGCGCTTCGCCGCCAAGTGAAGAACATCGTGCACAATTACTCCGAGGCGGAGATCAAAGTGCGCGAGGCTACTAGCAATGACCCCTGGGGTCCACCCAGCTCCCTTATGTCGGAGATCGCCGACCTGACCTTCAATACGGTGGCCTTCGCCGAGGTCATGGGCATGCTGTGGCGTCGGCTCAATGACAGTGGCAAGAACTGGCGGCACGTGTACAAGGCGCTGACGCTGCTGGACTATCTGCTCAAGACCGGCTCGGAGCGCGTGGCGCACCAGTGCCGTGAGAACCTCTACACCATCCAGACGCTCAAGGACTTCCAGTACATCGACCGCGATGGCAAGGACCAGGGCGTCAACGTTCGCGAGAAGGTCAAGCAGGTGATGGCCCTGCTCAAGGACGAGGAGCGCCTGCGGCAGGAACGAACTCATGCCCTTAAGACCAAGGAGCGCATGGCCCTGGAGGGCGCAGGCATCGGCAGCGGGCAGCTGGGCTTCAGTCGCCGTGGTGAGCGGGGTTCTCCATCCTCCTACACCTGTGAGTGAGCCCCGAGAGTGTGGCTGGGACAGGGAAGTGGCCAGAGTCCAACCCTGGCTTTGCAACCCTGAACCATGGTGAATAGTATTTACCTTGGAGGGATGTTATGAGGACGAGAAAGATAAGGAGTGTAATGTGCAAGATATAATGCTCCCACATAGCAAGCACTGCTCAAGTTAGCTCAAATATAATGTTATTTTACATTTGCCATTCAATTTATTAATTAACCATTGCTAGGATGGCATGGTGGTTGCACAGACTCGGGTCAGATACCATCTATTGTACCCCTTCCAAGCTGTGTGACCTGGATAACCAACTCTTTGAACTTCAGTTTCCTTATCTGTAAGATGGGGATAACTTCTGTTATTTGATCTGTTAAAAAACAAAGCAAAACAAAACAAGAACAAGACAAAACAAAACAAAACAAAAGGCCCTCAACCAGACATGTGGCATTCCTCTTAACTCTCTCTCTTGAGGGCACTGCCCTTGAAAATAGGGGCAGTTGCTGGGCAGTTCCTGAATGCTTCCCCCAGCAGTGAAGGCTGATCTGAGGAACTCTGGAATAGCCCTCCTTTTTTTGGAGGCTGGGGATGGGGGACTGAACCTAGGTAAGCTCCACCTCTGAGCTGCATCCCCAGCCCTTTTTATTTTGAGACAGAGTTTCACTAAATTGCAAGGCTGTCCTCAGACTTGCAATTCTCTTGCCTTGGCTTCCTGAGTAGCTGGGATTATAGGTGTGCACTACCTGATGTGGCTTAGAATGGCCCTGCTTTCATAAAGTTGTTGATGGCTTGCTGAGAGCTTTGGGCTGTGACTTTGTTATATTGGAAGTTCCTGCCTTCCCACTCCTCTTGGCTCCAAGCACAGTGGGGTCCAGCTGGAAGAGTCCAAGAGCAGGATTCAAGGGACCTGAGCTCAAGTCCTGCTTCAGGATCCTGGCACCCTCTGAGGTGTCTGCCCATCTGCTAAGGTGGCACTGGCATCTGCATTTCCTGGGTGGAATGGGGAATCTACAGGAAGTGCCCAGTAAAACACCTGGCTCACTGGAGCCCTTGACAGTCAGTTGTTGTTTTTTTTGCCTCAGTTTCCCTATCTGATCCTCAGCTTCCTAGCAGGCAGAGGAATGTGGGTACTGTGGCCCTGTGGGTACTAGTGTGGTCATAGAGGCCATGATGGTTGTTGCAGCTGCCTCCTCGTCCCCCCGCTATGCCTCGGACCTGGAGCAAGCGCGGCCCCAGACGTCAGGAGAAGAGGAGCTGCAGTTGCAGCTAGCACTGGCCATGAGCCGAGAAGAGGCTGAGAAGGTGAGACCTCAGTTGTCCCGGGCGGGCCGCAGAGGGAGGAGAGAGGCCTGGTGCTCCATGACTCGGGTTTCCCACCCTGGGCCTCAAGCCCTATTCCTCTCTCAAGGACAGTGTAGGGCCTGTGTCCCTGGGTTTGTTTCAGGCAGGACCCTCTTGGACTTCAGTCCTCTCTGGTTGGGCCTGGGAGTGTGACGTGTGGTTGGGGTATACAGTATGTTTGAAGGGCCTTGTGATGGGGGAGGGAGCATGCTGACAGACATCCTTGAAAACACTGGGATTGCTGCTCCCCCATCAGCTGTTCTTTAGGGAGGACAGTGATAGTACCTCTGATATCATCTCTGCCATAACCTCTGCGGATGCAGGCAGACCAGGTAAGAAGCAGCTGGGCACATATGGTGGTGCTAGGGGAGCACTCAGGCCACCAGAAGAGAAAGACCCAGCTTCCTGATCCTTAAGCGACATCCTCACTGCCCGCCCCATTTATGGTGGCCATTTCTGTCTCCATCCCTGCTTCCTGGGCAAAGCTATGCTGGCCCTCTGGCCAAGGGTGGGGAGTGCTGAGTCAAGTTCACCCGTCTTCCTCCCTGCAGCCAGTACCCCCAGCCTCCCACAGGGATGAGGACCTACAGCTGCAGCTGGCTCTGCGCCTGAGCCAGCAAGAGCACCAGAAGGTAGTGAGTGGGCTGAACTGCCTGGGCCTGGGCTGCAGGTGCCCCAGTGCGGTGCTGGTGGAGGTGCTATGGGCACTAACCGGCTTCTCTGCTGCTCTAACTTGGTACCTCCCACCCTGCTCTCTCCTTGACCCCAGGCTGGGCGCACAGGTCCTCTCAAGTTCAGCTTGAACTGCTCATGCTCCTCCTGCCTCTGTACCTTCTGCAGGAGGTGAGGTCCTGGCGGGGAGATGACTCCCCCGTGGCCAATGGTGTAGGGGCTGTGGTTCACCATCGCCATCGGGGGGACACAGAACCAGGAAGAGAAGAGAAAAAGGAGGAAGAGAAGCTGAAAACCAGTCAGGTAGGGAGCAAGTGGGGTGCGTAGGCTAGCAGGCTTGGGAGGTAATTTAGTATTTGTAGAGCGTAGAACAGTGCTTGGTGTATAGTAAGTACTACTTAAATATTTATTAAAGGAAAATGGGGGTGGCAGCATGTAACAGCCCCTGGTCCCATACGCATGATCTAGACTTGAGCTGAGAGCAAAATGGGATGTGACAAGATCCTGACCAAGATCCTTGGATTTGCTGCCACTTACTTTATGACTTGGAGAATATCACTGTCTAGGCCTTGGTTTTCCCTTCTACACAGTAGGTTCTTTGATCCTGATATTGTAGGATGACGGGATACTGTGGATCACGACTAGGGGCTGACTCTGGCACATGGTGCTGAAGACATCTTGGGCAGCCTGGCAGGGGTGGGTGGGGGAGTACATGGCTTCTGAGAGCAAGACCACCTCCAAAGCTATTCAGGCCGCCCAAGGGGAGTCTCTATCCCCTTTCTGCCCACATTCATGTGGTCAGTTTTTCTTGGACACTGACCTATGGAGGTAGGTTTGTTTAAAAAAAAAAAAAAAAGATCATCTCTGCTCTCACGGCCTCTTTCTGCTGGCCTGAATTCTATCCCAGCGCTGCCTCTCCCTGGCTGTGTAACTTCAGGCAAACCAATTCCCCTCTTTGGGCTTGAACTGGCTCATCTGTAAAGTGGGTATATCACCTGCTTTACCTTCCTCACAGGGTTGTTATGAAAGTGGGCAGTCAATGGATGAGGAAACATTTTATAAACTGGAAGCTGTACAGAGGTGAGGGATCATTAAAAGATGTTTGTGGAATGAATAAAGGAGGGAATGAGTTCGAGTTAGGCTGGCAGGTCAGGGCCTGCCCTCCCTCTGGGCCCTGCCTACGTCCAAGCTGCCTCTCCCCTCCACAGTCCTCCATCCTGGACTTGGCTGACATCTTTGCACCTGCCACAGCCCCACCCTCCACACATTGCTCTGCTGACCCATGGGACATCCCAGGTGGGTATGCAGGTCTGCAAGAGGCTCCTAGGTTGGTCCCAGAAAGCCCCTTCCTTCCCAGCCACTATGGTCAACCACTTCCCCACATTAGCTGGGGCAAATCTCTCACCTCCCCCAGTCACAGCTGCCTCTGTGACCTGGCTTTTATGGTGAAAGAACCCAGTGATGTGAATCTCAGTAGAGATTCTCTTGCTGCCCTCTAGCCATTCCAGCCCTGAATGGGAAGGTGGCCAACACTGCCCATGCCTGGAGGTCCAGAGGCCTGGGATAATTAACCTGGACTTCAGCTGCTGGCTGCTCCTGAGGCAGCATTCCACCTGTCAAGTGGCTCCCATACCTCCCACTTGGGCTGTGTAACTGGGAGAGGCCCTGCACGAGGATTCTGGGAGCTGGGGGTCTGGGTTTACACCTGTGCTATTCCCATTCTAGGTCTCAGGCCGAACACAGAACCCAGTGGCTCTTCCTGGGGACCTTCTGCAGACCCCTGGTCTCCAGTCCCCTCAGGAAACGCTCTGTCCCGAAGCCAGCCTTGGGACTTGCTTCCTACCCTCTCCTCCTCTGAGCCCTGGGGCAGGACCCCAGTGCTGCCTGCTGGACTCCCCACCACAGACCCCTGGGCACCAAAGTCTCCCCACCACAAACTCCCCAGCACTGGAGCTGACCCTTGGGGGGCCTCCATGGAGTCTTCTGACACACCTGGTAAGGGGGGGGCGGCAGAGGGTCTTCTGGGTCCCCCTCCCTCTGGTGCCAGCAGGTACTGTGCTAAGAGGGCCACTTCCCAGGAAAGGGGTCAGACCAGTGCCTGCCCTTTTTGCCAACTCATCTCCCTCTTTCTCCTTGTCTAGTTCTAGGTGGTACCTCGAACTTCGACCTATTTGCCAAACCTCCAGAATCCACAAAAACCAAGGAGGGTCTGGAGGGGCAGGCCTTGCCCTCAGGGAAGCCCAGCAGCCCTGTGGGTGAGCAGGAGGCCAAGAGATAATGAGGCTTTGGGAATGAGTGGCTCAGCAGACTGGGCTCCTGCCCTCTTCCCTTCATCTCAGTGGTCAATCTGTCTCCCACCAATAAGCTCTATCATGTACCTTTCAGAGTTGGACCTGTTTGGAGACCCTAGTCCCACTTCCAAGCAAAATAGCACGAAGGAGCCAGATGCCTTTGACTTGGATGTACTAGGAGAAGCACTAGCCCAGCCTGGACAGGAGACCCGTGCCTGCCGTACCCCAGAGTCTTTCCTGGGCCCCTCGGCCTCTTCCTTGGTCAACCTTGACTCATTGGTCAAGGCGCCACAGGCTGCGAAGACCCGGAATCCCTTTCTGACAGGTAGGGCACCTCCGAGTCCCTCGACACCCAGAGCCTTGCTCTCTCCTGCCCTCCCAGCAGAGCCCAGCTGCTGCCCTACGTCTTCCTCTTCCCTGGCTCTAAGACCCCGATCTCGCCGCCCATTCCTGCGCCCTCTCTCGTTCGCAGGACTCAGCGCTCCGTCCCCCACTAACCCGTTCGGTGAGCAGGGCAGGCCGACCCTGAACCAGATGCGCACCGGGTCACCTGCGCTGGGCCTGCCGGTCGGCGGGCCTACCGGGGCGCCCCTGGGCTCCATGACCTACAGTGCCTCCCTGCCCCTCCCGCTCAGCAGCGTGCCGGTCGGCATGACCCTTCCCGCCTCGGTCAGCGCCTTCCCACAGGCTGGAGCCTTCGCCCCACCGCCCGCCAGCCTGCCGCAGCCGCTGCTGCCCACCTCCGCCTCGGCTGGGCCGCTGCACCCGGGCCCGCAGTCTGGCACCAACCCCTTCCTCTGAGCGACGCCCCAGCCTGAGCGCGAGGCCACGCCCCCTCGTGACCTTGGGCGGGGCGGCAGTGCTGGTCAAGCACCGATCCCAGCCTCGCGGGGCAAGGCGGAAGGTGCACTCCTGAAGTTGGAGACCGAGGACGTTTTGGGGGGCGGAGGTGGCTAGACCACACCCCAACAATAAAGACTGGAACCCACGGGCTCAGCTCTTACTACCAAGGGGACTTCTTGTGGGGTGTGGGCACTGGGGTCTGGACTACAGAAGGGATCACTGGCTGTGGAGGAAACTACTGCTCTACAATCTAGGGCACGAAACGGTCCCATTTCCTTACAACTTACTCCTCTCAAACCTCCATCCACAGCCTCATCTCCTGTTGGCCTGGCACCTTTGCTTCCAGATGTTCCCAGGCTGTCACTCATGGGTCATGGTCATTTCATTTATCCATCGCACATCAGCAAGCACTGGGGATGATCTAATAGGGGACGGTAGGCGTTTGTTCCCATTTACTGGGCACTTGTTAATGTGCTAAGCACTTTAGGCAGAACATTTCTTTTAATCATTGCAACTCTGGGAGACAGGGAATATTGTCACTCCCATTCAGGACAGCTACAGAATCTGCAGGGTCCACTGCAAAATGAAAATGCTGCCAGATGTGGTGGCACACGCCTGTAATCCCAGCAATTCTGGAGGCTCAGGCAGGCAGATTCCAAGTTCATGTATAGCCTGGGCAAATTCAGTGGGCGCTCGGCAACTTAGACCTAGTCTCAAAGTAAAAAAATAAAAAAAGGACTTGGGCTCAATGGTAAAGTGCCCCTGGGTTCCATCCCCAATACTTCCCACCCCCACAAAAGAAAGAAAATGCAGGGTACCCTCTTCAAAATTGGGTTAAGAATTTCAATACAGGAACATCCGAGCATCAAACCAAGTGCATGGTCCTCCCAAGTGCAGTTGCACAGGTCTCTCTTGCAGCAGCTCCCATTTTATAGGTGAGAAAATTGAGAATCAGAGAGGTTAAGTGGCATGTTCAAAGTCACAAAGCAAGGACTGTGAGAAGATGAGATTCAAAGTCATCAGACAGTCTGGCTCCTCATCCAGGAGCTCCCAGACTGGGCCCCAGATTTAATTCAGCAAATATTGACTGACTGTTGTGGACAAAGGGTTGGGCTGTCCTGGGAGGAATCCAAGAATTGCCGAGCTCACAACCTGCAGGAGCTCAGAGTACAGCAGAGCAGACAAAAGGTGTGTGTGGGGTGGGAGGGATGTGATGCAGCTGCAGCAAAGCCAGGTCAGGAGCACTCATGTTCCTATGTTTACTGGGTCATCTTAAATCCAGCTCTGAGCCCTGCCCCCACCACCAAAGCTGACAAGAAACTTCCCTTTATCAGTGGGAGTCTGCTCCTACTGTGGGCTCATGAAGGGTTTTAGAAACCAAGAGTGGTACAAGGCTTGGTACTCATTCTGGGAGCCATCACGGCCACTTTTCCTTTCACTCAATGCTTCGTGATCACTGGATCACTGGACACTGGTGTGTCCTCAGTGCTCAGGGGTGGCCCTGCAAGCCAGCCTGCTGTTAGCCCCTTCCCCTTTTCAGGTACTGAGAGCAAACAGCCTTCCATAGTCCTCCCAAGAAATATCCAAGTTGTTGATGGTAGGGGTGTGTGATGCCACTGTCCTCCTGGGGTGGGTTGCTTTGTTTGTATGGAGGGAGGGAGTCCCACTGTTGCAGACCAGATGGACAAGAGCACTTACTTAGAAGTCAGATGGACAGGGTTTAAAACTCTGCTCCCAAGTTTGGACTTAATGATAATAATCTCTTAATAGGTGGTTATGCTGTCTGACCTTGAGTAAAATTACTTCACCTCTCTTTGCCTGTGCCTCGATTTCCCTACTTGTCAAATGGGATCAAGAGTTCCTTCTTTGGGCTGGGAGGGAGGGGTGCAGCTCAGGGGGAGAGCACTTGCCAAACAAGCTTGAGGTCCTGGCTTCAATCCACAGTTCTGCCAACAAACAGAACTGTGGACTGAACTTCTTGCAATCCCCAGTCCTTTTGTTTCTGATACGCCTCTCTCTGAGCTTGCACTCTGGTCATTTCATGTCTGTGACTTTTTCAACAAATAAATAAACAAGAGCTGGGGTCCACCTTCTTCACACACTGACCATGACAATGATCCCTGCCCCTTGTCTCTGGCTTTTCCAGGCAGCACACAGAGCCCAGCCCCCATCTATCTTCTGCTGCACCCAAACTGGGAAGGTTCTATCTTCCTTGGTCCCAGATCCATCTCTGTGCCTCTCCCACCAAAATTGACTCTCCCCTGGAGACTCCAAGAGGGGCTATTATGTCTCCAGGGAAAAGTAGTTCAGTTGCCTTGCTTCTGGTAGCTACTTCTGGGACATCTTCCTCCTTGTGAGACCCTCCTCCTGGAGACTGGCACTGTGGTGCTGCCCCGCCTCCTTCCTGCCTGTGGCTGCCACTCCTCCTCATTCTCGGGATGCTTCCCTCTTGGCTCACTTGACCCCACCCAGATCCAACCTCAACACCTTATCCAGGAGGATGACCTCACAGCCTCTTGACCTCTCAGCTCCCCTGACCCATGAGCACCCTTAGGGACTTGTCACCGTCCCAGTTTCCTCCAGGCTTCCTGATCTCACTCCTCCCAGCTGGAGGATGTCCTCTGGAGCATCTCCACCTGCCAGTCCCCCACTCTCAGAACTGCTAAGTATTAAGGATCTCTTCTCTCCTCCATAGCTTCAATGGCTTTCTCTCAACCAAATTCTTCCCATCAATATGTGTTCTTATTAGCTTCGTCCCCAAAGTATCTTTTTCCTCACATTGAGTGCCCAGGTTATCCCTCCACTTCTCCTCTCTGCCTTCCCTCAATGCTCTCCGGTTGCTGCCTGCTCTCAGCCTGGTATCATTGGATGATGGTCACCACACCAACCCAGGGATTTTTCTGGTCTATCCTGGGTGGATTCCCGATTCGTGTTCCTTCCTTCTTGCAATCCCAGTCCTTTTGCTTCTGAGATGCCCCTCTGTGAGTTTGCACTCTGGCCATTTCATGTCTATGACTTTTTCAGGCTTATGGAGGCCAGACCTGAGCCTTCTTTCTGCTTCTAATGCAGTCTCCCCTGGGGGACTTCTCCCTGGAGAAACCCTCATTCCTCTCTCCCAACAGCTTCCTCTCTGTGCTCCAAGCCTTGTCACCTCCATCTCCCTGTGTTCATCTCAAAGGCACCTTAAACAACGGATCCAAAGTGCCAATCACTCTTGACACCTTCTTCTCCTACCTGGCTAGTCCTGAGAGTCGTGCCTAGGCCCCCAGCCCTGCCTTTTCTCTGTAGCTCCACCCCCGCCTTGTGGCAACCCTCCCATCTCCCTGCCCTGCTGCTTTGGCCTCCCAATCACTGCTGCTTCCTCTCTTGCCTCTTTCTGATCCATTCTCCACTGAGCAGCCAGAAAGATCTTCCCCAAATGCAAACCCAACTGGGTCATTCTCCTTACTGAAGCCCTCTAACAGCTACCTCCTGCTCTCATCAAAACTCCTCTTCTCACAAGTTCCTCCAAGACCTGGTCCCTGCCCTCCTCCCCAACCTCCAAGCCTCATCTATGACCTATCTTCCCCTTGCTTTCTGACCTGCAGTTCCTTATCCCTGACTCACTGTGACATGTGGGGGCCTTTGCATATTTGTTCCTTTGGCCTACTTCTCCAGTGCCCTGCCCCCCAGGCACAAATGTAATTTCCTCAGGGAAACCTTCCCTTCTTGTCCCTTCCACCAGATCAAGTGCCTTGTTATATTATGCACACAGTGGGTGGTTGAATATTCATTTGTGTGGCTGTCTGACTGGCCTCTGTCTCTCAACTGTCTGTGAGTAAAACCGGGGAACAGGCTTATCTCTGTCCACCCTCCATTCAGTATCTGGCATAGTGGCAGGCACTGGACACTTGGACACTCACTGCATACTGGCTCAATGCATGTGTATAAAGCATAATATACAACATAAAATTGGCTCAGTGTTATTATTCAGGAAAATGTTCCTGGAGTGGGTGGGGATTTGAGCAGGACCTGGAGTTGGAGACTGAACTAGACTTGCTAGCTGGATGGAGCTGGACAAGACATGTCTTCAGCTAGAGTCTCATTTCTCAAAAAAAGGTCAAATTATCTGAGGCTCTGAGATCCCACGGTCCTGGCACCCCATATCCGTGAGAGTCGTCCTCTGGCAGGCAGGTTACTCAAGCCAAGGCGGTTTTTAGGCATGGACCCCAGGCTCTAAAGCCCGGGCTGCCGGGTTTGCAATCCTCCTCTCGGCCACATGGCGACGCTCAGAGACCAGACACTCAGCTCCGAGTCCGGGCGAAGACCCGCCCGCGGCTCTGAGGGCGCCGGGCCCGCCTCTTGCAGCCTGCCGTTGGGTTTCTCTCGGAGCAGCCATGCTGGGCGCGGGCCTGGATGGGCCTCAGCCTCCGGCTGCCCCGCGCCAGGCTGGGTCTCACCGCGAGCCGCAGGTACGAGCGGGCCGCTGGGGTGCGCCCTGCACCTGCGGCGCCGGTGGCCGGTCTCCCTGGCTCTGGTCCATAGTGCCTGCTCGCCAGCCCCGCATGCCTGGTCCTCCCCGCACCCCACCTGCCTCTGATCTGACTTGGACACCTGGCCCTGCAGAAGGGTCCTGAGACCAGCACTGGCAGAGAGGGCCTCTCTCCCCAACCCCCTCCACTTATGGGGCTGGCTCCTGGGGGGACTAATCTGAGGCTACCACCAAGAAGCCCTCCTTGAGCCCAGTGCTGGACTAGGGCCCTTTCTTCAGTAACACATTGTGACCCGTCACTGCCCTGTATTGAGGTGGGGCCTGTCCATTATTAGGTCTGCCCCCAGCATCACTCTCCTAGGCTGAACTCCTTCAGATGGGGCGTTTCTGATTCCCTGGGTGTCCTCTGACACAGGACCTGGCCCATTGGGCTGCCCAGTGGTGGGTTTTGAGTAAGGAGTCCTTGGACTGTTTTCCTCTGGTTTCCCATCACCTGGCTCAGTCCCAGACCCTGTTTATGTGTGGTCCAGCCACTCCTAGAGCAGCCACCAGCAGCTGTACCTTTCTACCCAGTTCATGCCCCCATGCATGCCAGAGGATCCCTCCCCCGCCCAGTGTAAACCACCCTTGGGAGGGGCCCTGTTAGGGGGACAGAATGGTGTTGGAAGGACCATTCTGCCCATTGTGACCCGCCCTGACCTCACAGTCATCCTTCCCACCACCAGGTCTTGAGAGGTTGGGGGAGACTAACCTGGCAGGGAGTGCCCAATGAGCCACCTCTCCTCACCCCCCAAAAAACTTAAGGGGGAGCACAAAGGCCACGGTCTCCCCCGTGGTTCAGAAAGGTGTGTGGGGCTGGGAGCTGGGGTTCTTTTGGGTTCGAAGGAAAGCTGGGTGGGATATGGGGGGAGGTGGGCATGGGCACAGGTGGGGCAGGCCTTGACCTGTGTGACCCATCTGCCCACACCAGGGGTAGCTCCTCCCGGGACAAGGACCGTAGTGCTACGGTCAATAGTTCAGTGTCCATGCCTGCCGGAGGGAAGGGAAGTCGTCCCAGCTGCCCCCCAGCTACACCCCAGAAAGCCCCCAACCGCCTGATCAATGAGAAGTCACCATACCTTCTACAACATGCCTACAATCCTGTGGACTGGTAAGTACCTTTCCAGTGCTCCCCTTGAAGCAGCTGGGGCCCCAGACCCCCCCCCCTCAACCCCCAGGGCTGCTGATTGATGCCACACCCTGCTGGACCTAGGTACCCCTGGGGACAGGAAGCCTTTGACAAGGCCAGGAAAGAAAACAAGCCAATCTTCCTCTCAGGTAATGTGCCCACCTTCTCTGAAATGGGGAGGGCTGTGCGGGGGGGGGGGGTTGGTCAGGAGGGGAAAGGTCCTGTGGGCCTTACGGGCTCCCAGGGGTCTGGAGATCAGCTTCTGGTCTAGGTGGGGCCCCTGGGCTGCTCTGTCCCATCTTTGCTGCCCCATTTGCGTTCCAGTGGGGTACTCTACCTGCCACTGGTGCCACATGATGGAGGAGGAGTCCTTCCAGAACGAGGAGATTGGCCGCCTGCTCAGTGAGGACTTCATCAGTGTGAAGGTAGACCGGGAAGAGCGGCCCGACGTGGACAAGGTGTTCATGACGTTTGTGCAGGTGAGCTGTTTTCCTGTGGGAAAAATCCTGTCACTTGTTCACAGCAGTTCCCTTGACCCTGGTGCTCTCTCCACAGGCCACCAGCAGTGGTGGGGGCTGGCCCATGAATGTGTGGCTGACTCCCAACCTCCAGCCCTTTGTGGGGGGCACCTATTTCCCCCCTGAGGATGGCCTGACCCGAGTTGGCTTCCGCACAGTGTTGATGAGAATACGGGATCAGGTGGGTGTGCATCCAGGAGGGCGGTACTCCAGCACAGGTCAAGGAGCCCCGAGCTCCATGCTGACCTCCGGGTGTGCCCTCTCCTCCCACAGTGGAAGCAGAATAAGAACACCCTGCTAGAAAACAGCCAGCGTGTTACAACGGCCCTGCTGGCCCGTTCGGAGATCAGCATGGGTGACCGCCAGCTGCCACCCTCTGCTGCCACCATGAATACCCGCTGCTTCCAGCAGCTGGATGAGGGCTATGATGAGGAGTACGGTGGTTTTGCTGAGGCCCCCAAGTTTCCCACACCAGGTCAGCATCCCCCAGCCCTCCTTACCCCAGACCTGGTCTTGTGCTTCCTGTCCTGGTCAATGGTCTTCTGCTTCCTGGCATAATCATTAGCCTCCTGTCCTCCCAACTGGCCAGGAGACTTGATACCTGCTCTTAGTAATGACATTCTGACCCTGACCTACATAACGATCTTCCAACCTGGTCAATGATCCTGGGCAATGTTACTGGTCTGGTCTGTAACTTCCTTGTCCCCCGTGGCCGATGATATTCTGTTCTCTGGCTCAGGTGATGACCTTGTGTCCTTTGGGTTGCCCATTGACCTCCTGACTCTCAGGCTTTCCAGAGATGGCCTGCCTGTCAAGTGAACTCCTCTGGGTTGACTGTTGACCTCCTGACCTCAGCCTGGCCAGAGGCCTCTTGACTATCCACACCCCATCATTCCCTCACTCACCTGTTCTTGCCACCCCACAGTGATCCTGAACTTCCTGTTCTCCTACTGGCTCACTCACCGTCTAACCCAGGATGGCTCTCGGGCCCAGCAGATGGCCTTGCACACCCTGAAAATGATGGCCAATGGGGGCATCCGGGACCATGTGGGCCAGGTGAGGGGTAGCGAGGCATTCCCTGGAGGAGCAGTGGGAGGCGGTGGCTGGGATCAGCCTCCAAGCCCTGCATCTCTCACCTGGTACAGGGCTTTCACCGCTACTCCACGGACCGCCAGTGGCACGTCCCTCACTTTGAGAAGATGCTGTATGACCAAGCACAGCTCGCAGTGGCCTATTCACAGGCCTTCCAGGTGACCCCCTTGCCTCGTCCTAACCCTGGCTGCCTCTCCCAAGGCCTTCCTAGTACTGTGGCTCTTCCTTCATTTTTTTCTATTTTTCCTTTTTTTTTTCTTTCTCCCTTTCTTTTCTCGCAGTACTAGAAATTGAACTCAGAGGCACTATACCTCTGAGCTGTATCCCCAGCCATTTTAATTTTTTAAGTTTTGAGACAGGATCTCACTAAGTGGCTGAGGCTGGCCTCCATCTTCAGGTCCTCTTGCCTCAGGCTTCTAAGTAGCTGGGATTACAGGCCTGGCCCATCACCCTTAGTTTCAACTCCTAATTCCTACTACCCAGGCTCCCCTCCCCAAATTTCCTGGGAGAATATCACCCCTATGTACCTGGGCCACCCCCAATGGCCTCTACTGACAAGCCTCCTCCCTCCCCAGATTTCTGGTGATGAATTCTATTCTGAGGTTGCTAAAGGCATCCTGCAGTATGTGTCCCGGAGTCTGAGCCACCGGGTATGTATCCAGAGGAAGGTGGGCCTGGCTGTAGGAGAGGTTTGGGGCCTCCACTGCCCTTCAGGCTGTGGGACCCAGCCAACTCTTCTCTTTCCACAGTCTGGAGGCTTCTACAGCGCAGAGGATGCAGATTCGCCCCCAGAGCGGGGCTCGCGGCCCAAAGAGGGTGCCTTCTATGTGTGGACGGTGAAAGAGATCCAGCAGCTCCTCCCAGACCCTGTACAGGGTGCCACCGAGCCTCTGACCTCAGGCCAGCTTCTCATGAAACACTATGGACTCACAGAGGCTGGCAATATCAGCCCCAGTCAGGTGAAGACTTCTGGGGACACAGGAGGGGGCCTAAGACCTGCTGGGTATGTGGGCTCCCTCTGATAAGGCCGTTTTCCTCAGGACCCCAATGGGGAGCTGCAGGGCCAGAACGTATTGACTGTTCGGTATTCGCTGGAGCTGACTGCTGCCCGCTTTGGCTTGGATGTGGAAGCCGTGCGGACCTTGCTCACCACCGGGCTGGAGAAGCTCTTCCAGGCCCGGAAACACCGGCCAAAACCACACCTGGACAGCAAGATGCTGGCTGCCTGGAATGGTGGGGCAGTCCTGTCTGAGGCCCAATCCTGTTTGTAGAATTCCCCTCACCAAGTTCCCCTGTCTGTCAGGCACCCTTAAAACAGCGGATTCTTCCTTTATTAGGTTTATTATCCTTAATTTGCAAATGTGTTCATTCGAGGGTTAGAGAGTGGAAGTGACCTGCCCAGAGTCACCTTACAGGGGCCAGGAGTCCAGCTCTAACTGGTGTTGGGTCAGAGCCTGGGGTGTGGCGGGGATCTCCCTGGAGAGCTCTGACCTCATCTTACACCCTTTCTTCTCCCACCAGGCCTGATGGTGTCTGGCTTCGCTGTGACTGGGGCTGTCTTGGGCATAGACAAGCTGATCAACTATGCCACCAACTGTGCCAAGTTCCTTAAGCGGCACATGTTTGATGTGGCCAGTGGCCGCCTGAAGCGCACCTGCTATGCTGGCAATGGGGGGACCGTGGAGCACAGGTGGGGGACTGGGCAAGCTGGGAGGACTCATCTTCCTTATGTGTTCCTAGCCCCCCCTCTGCCCTTCCTCTGGATGAGGCCTCACTATGAGCTCTTAACTTCCTGGGTCCATTTACTCTTCTGGGAAATGGGCTAGTGGCAGACCCCAGATAGCTGGATTTTTGAGGATTAAATGAAGGAACACATGAGAAATGTCCCCTCTGTGAAAGCCCCAGGCCTTCCCAAGCCTCTCCCCTGTTGCCTGTGTCCCCAGCAACCCGCCCTGCTGGGGCTTCCTGGAGGACTACACCTTCGTGGTACGGGGCCTGCTGGACCTGTATGAAGCCTCACAGGAGAGCTCCTGGCTTGAGTGGGCTCTACGGCTACAGGACACACAAGACAGGCTCTTCTGGGACTCCAGGGGAGGTGGCTACTTCTGCAGCGAGGCTGAGCTGGGGTCTGGCCTGCCCCTGCGTCTGAAAGATGGTTAGTATGGGTGTGGGCTGACCTGGGGTCCTGCACCCAGCTGGGATTGGCTTTCCCTGCACAAAGCATAGTTCAGGGAGGTGGTGAGGAGCTGGTATGGGCTGGCCTCACATCTCTGTTCTCTGCTCCTTACAATTGTGTGAACCTGTTTCTTTCTTTCTTTCTTTTTTTCTTGGTACTGGGGATTGAACCCAGGGGCACTTTACATCCCTAGACCTTTTATTTATTTTTTATTTTGAGAACAGGATCTTGCTAAATTGCTTAGGGCTTGACTAAGTTGCTGAGGCTGGCCTTGAACTTGCCATCCTTCTGTCTCAGCCTCCCAAGTCACTGGGATTATAGGCATGTGCCACCATGCTGCACCTCCCTGTCTAATTTTTAGTTGTAGGTGGACACCATACTTTTTTGTTTATTTTTATATGGTGCTAGGGATCAAATTCAGTACCTCACACATGTTAGGCAAGCACTCTACCATTGAGCTAAAACCCCAATCCCTGGCCTCTCTTAATATGTAAAAGGATATTAATGCTGGTACTGACTCACAGGGTTGATGGAAAGATTTATCTAGGTGCTCAGTGGTCACTGGCATCCAGGGATTCATACCTGGAATGAGGCTGACATGGTCCCTGCTTTCAGGAAGCTTACAGTGTAGTAGAAGACAGCTAATAAACAGAAATAAGGCAATAATGCACCTGCCACATGTAGTTAAAGTTGTGATGAGGGCTGCAAAGAAGTAGGAGCCCTATGCCATGTGGCTGCCCCCATGTCTTGTCTGTTGTTAATGGTCTCTCAAAGAGCAGGACTTATCCCCAGGGTCCAGTGCAATCCTGGCAAGTTGTAATAGGTGCTCAGTAAATGTTTACTGAATAAATGAAATGGCCTCAGGAGAGAACCAAGAGGAGGAGATCCAGCTCAGCCTGAGGGGAGATCAAATTGAACCAGGCCTGGGAGGCAGGAGTAGGGACCATGGGGTCACAGAAGAACTGTGGAGATTGTTCAGACAGAGGGAAGAGTCTGAGAGGCCCCAAGGGGGAAGCCTGGGCCCTGGAGGACGGAGGACAGGGCCTGCATGAAAGGAGGGCACTGGGGCCTGCAGGAAAAGGAGGGAAAGGCTCAGGAGACGTGCTTAAGGAGGTCACTTTGGTGGTGAAGAAGGGATGGAGGTAGGGGAAACAAGTGACCAGTTAGGAGGCCATTCATGGTGTTCAGTGCACGCAGGCATTGGCGAAAGCTCAACTAAGGGTTGAGCTTGGGATGGAGAGAAGTGGCAAAGTGGCATGTGTTGTGGCTGCAGCCCTGGCAGGACTCAGACAGATTAGAAGTGGGGTGTGAGGGACAGGAAGGGTGTGGCCACTCTGGCTTGAGCAGCTGGGTGGTGGACAGAGGTATCAGCAGTTAGACAGGGCCTGGGGACTGGCAGGCCAGTAGGAGGAGTTGAAGGTGCCATGAGAGAGCCGCGTACCAACCACTGCTAGAGCAGGCAGGAGGTGTCTTCCTCCATCCCCTCCCCCGAGGCCCCGGAATTAGTCTGGGGCAGGGTCCTGAGACCCAGTGACCCTTTCTTGCCTCCAACCCCTGCCTCCCTCTGCCCTGCAGACCAGGATGGTGCAGAGCCTAGTGCCAACTCTGTGTCGGCTCACAACCTGCTCCGGCTGCACGGTTTCACCGGCCACAAGGACTGGATGGACAAGTGTGTGTGTCTATTGACCGCCTTCTCAGAGCGCATGCGCCGGGTCCCCGTGGCATTGCCTGAGATGGTCCGTGCCCTCTCAGCTCACCAGCAGACTCTCAAGCAGGTGGGGGTGCTGTTCCTCTGGCTGGGACCTGGGTAGGAGGGGAGCGGGGTTGCAACAGGGAAGAAAGTATGGGAAAGGGATCCTGGGACTGTCCCTGGCAAGTGCCCTTGAGGCAGGTCCCTGTTCTGCAGTGGAGGTGTCTGTAGGAGGGTATGCATCTGAGGAGATGGCCTGTGGGCCCAGGCACATGCCCATGTGAGTGCCTGTCTCTGGCCTTCAGAGTATGGGTGCAGGAGGCAGGGACTAAATATGGGTCCCTGGTTGCTGCTGAAGTGTTCTCTGTAAGGCTCTGTGTGTCCGTCTGGTTGTTTCTGACCCCATGTGTGATATTGCCATGTGTGCAACCCTGGGGAGTGTGTCTGTGAGTGCATGTGCCTGCCTTTCTGGGAGTGGGCACTCTTGTGAGTGTTGGCAGTGTGCATTTGCCTATCTGCATGCGTTACCTCCATCTTCAGGTGTGCCTGCTTGTGTTGCATATTTGCTCTGTGTGTGTGTGTGTGTGTGTGTGTGTGTGTGTGTGTGTGTGTATGAGAGAAAGGGAGAGGGGTGGGGTAGGGTTTGTATGTATGGCATCTTCCCCTGTATGGGCATTTGCCATGTGTATACGTGAGTACCATCTCCCTGTGGATGTGTCTCTGTGATATGTCTCCCACTGTTTTGAGTCTTTTGGGTGTATGTCCCCATTTTTGTGTCTCTACCATTGTGCATGGCATTGTCACTGTATTCTCCTGGGGTCTGTGTCTCCACTTGCAAAGCATTAAATCCAGTGTGGCCTCCTGGTAGCTGAGTCTCCATTCCTCTTGGAGAGAAAGGGTGGTGTGAAGGGGAGGATCTAGAAACCCTGGTAGGTCTGGGGTTCAGCTCCTCCCTCATCTAACACTGGAATGACCTTTTTATTCTGGCCAGATTGTGATCTGTGGAGACCCCCAGGCCAAGGACACCAAGGCTCTGCTGCAGTGTGTCCACTCCACCTTTGTGCCTAACAAGGTGTGTGTCCCTGTGAGCCCAGCCCCACCCCTGCCTCCCTTGAGTTGCCCTCTCCTCTCCTTAGCTCCCCAACATCTGCCTTGAAGGATTGAGGAGAGGTCATCTCCACCATGGGCTCTGTAGTGCCCCAGTACTTTCCTCCAGGTGACCCTCTCTGCTCTGCCACTGCCCCAGGTGCTGATTCTGGCTGATGGGGACCCATCAAGCTTCCTGTCCCGCCAGCTGCCCTTCTTGAGTACCCTGCGACGGCTAGAAGACCGGGCCACTGCATATGTGTGTGAGAATCAAGCCTGCTCAATGCCCATCACTGAGCCCTGTGAATTACGAAAACTGCTACATCAGTGACTGACTCCGAAGGGCCAGGGCAAAAGGTGGCACTTCCCAAGTGACCAGAAACTTAGGCCCACCAAGGCTGTGTACAACCTGCAGCCACCCCTGGGCACCCTGCCACCAGGTGACCTTGGCCATCCTCACTGCTCCCCCATGGGCACCCACTTATCCTGGAATAAATTGAACAGCGTCCCGCAGTGACCCAGGGGCCTCAGCCTCACTTGTGAGGGAGGGGATCGGCTCTGGCCTGGGAACTAGCAGCCTAGGACCCCTTCCTCTGCGAGTCCTCAGCTGACCTCTTTGTCTTCTTCCATCCCCCTTTACCTTCCAGAGTGATCCTGCCCCCATCCATAGTCATTGAGCCTGAATGAAACTGAGGTCAGGGGCTAAAACTAAGTACAGTGGACCTGAGTGGAGACAGGGATATATACCAGCCCAGGAGGGGAAAGCCAGTCCTTGCCTGTAGAAGGGGTTAGCAAAGAGTCCCGCCCTTCCCTCCCCTTGTTCTGAGCAGGGAAGGGATAAAGGGACACTTTATATTTGATGATGGCAATATTGCATATGCCACGGTTCACGGTAGCAGCTGCTATCAGAACTAAGACTTTTTTTAGGGGATCCATCACGCCCTGACCCCTCATCAGGAAGTGGGGAGGCCTCTGGCAAGAGGTCAGATTGTTCATCCCCTGCTTTTTGCAAGCCAGTTAGGATAATTCTCTCTCTCTCTCTCTCTCTCTCTCTCTCTCTCTCTCTCTCTCTTTTAGAATCTGTTGTGTTGGAAGTCCTTCCCCAAATTTATCTAAGTTTTTCCTGAGCAGAGTAAGCTGAACCTTCCTGTGACCTTCTCCTGCCTGCTAGATGTTGGGAGATGCTCTTGAGTCCTCTCCTTGGCATACACATCTTTGCAGGCTCCAGAAAACCCATCTAGCCCCTACCAGGGGAGGAGACAGGAAAGCGTGCTTTGGGAAGGGCAGGTGTGGAGTGATGGAGCTGACAGGTGGGGTGGGGGGAGCTTCCCCTCAGGCCTTTGGGGGTCTGCTGAGTCTGGGCATCCTCCTGGGCCCCAAGCCCAGCAATACTGATAGCCAAAAGAAGCTGCTAGAGACAAGGAGGCCTGAATGGGGCCACTTCTGGGGGAGATGTCAACAGTGGGGAGTGGAGCAGGAAAAAGCCAGGAGACTGGACAGTCACTCCCTGGTATATGGTCATATATAGTGACACATGGTCCCTGGAACCAGAGTCTGCTTCGTCTGGGCAGCTGGTCCTTGGTGCAAGCCACCAGCCCATCTGGAGGGGATTAGAGCCCTGGCCAACAAGGTCAGCTGGCCTCTTTCTCCTTGGAGCCCACTCAGCCATGCCAGGAAATCAGAGGCTGGACATGAAGAGCCTGGCCCAGGGGGTGGCAGGGAGGGAAGGTGTAGCGTGCTGAGGCACAGGTGGCCTTTTTGGCAGCCCAAGGCCTGGTTTTGGAACGGTCTGAGTAGTTTGCACAGCCTTCTTGCCACCGTGGTCTCACTGACCCTCATGAATGAGGTGGTAAGGCCGGTACCTTCAGCATCTCATATGGATAGTTCTTCAAGACCCAGAGAGGGTAAGAGCCTGGTCTAATAGCCCTCGGCACATCAGCATCTCTCCCTGCTGCTTCCCAGCCACAGCTGTGAAGAAGGGTGCAGCCTAGTGTCTTCTATCTCTCCATCCAGTCTAGTTTCTGCATCTCCTTTCCCTCCGACCTGGGATCAGGCCCATACATGACAATGAGATTCTGTAAATGGTTTAGAGGAAAGAGGGCCTTAAAGGGTTAGTTCTTCCAGGAATCCTTGAATTTGCAAAGAGGGCAAGGCTGGATATAAATCTTGGTAGATATGAGATTAGAAAGCCCCCGCAGCATCCCTTTTCCTTTGTGGGCTTCCCTTTATGTGCTCCCTGTTCTGCCAGCATGACTGTTCTGCAGCAGCTGTGGGCCAGGGTCACTGGAGACAAAGCATCATGGTTTGGGTAGTCATTTAAGTGAGCCTCAGCTTGCTTATCTGAGAAGTAGGGAGGGGCCACCCTTCTAGCTCCCAGGGCTGTTGAGGTGACCAAATAGAATGATGTTTATATCATCCCTGAGTAGAAGGTATTGCAGATGGGAAGATTCTCTCAGCTCCTGAGGAAGCCAGACGGGCTGTGGGAGAGGGGAAAGGTCTGAGGGTTGTAGGGTACCCGAGGGGCTGGCAGGGCAGGGCAAGCTGCATATAGAGAGATCTCTCAGCCTAGAAGAGAGCTTAGACAACATCCAGTTCTAACTTCTTTTTTTGGGAAACCAAGACCCAAAGAAAGGAACTTTTCCCTCTTCTTCCCCCTCCCTGTCTGAGGTTATAAATTCAGCTACAGAAAATTTACTAAGTACTTATTGTGTGCCAAACATTGGACTAGGGCCCAGAGAGCAAAATCGACATTGCCCCTATCTTCAGGTAACAGAGCCTGGAAGCAGAGACAACCATTCCACTATTATAAACATAAACAGAATCCCCGCCTGGACTAAGTACTATGAGCTTGCAGACTATTGTCTGGCTCAGTACTGTATCCTCAGTACCTTGGCACTTAATAGCGTTAAAAACTTGCCAGAAAGAAAGCCAGTCTAAAAAGGTGACGTCAGAGCTGAGACTTGGAGGGCTGGAGTTAACGACTGTTCCAGGTCTTCCTTTGCCTTCTTCCTTCACTCCCCACTCAGGTAACTGGTGAGCATCTCTGGCCAAATATAAGAATCCTCTAGTGCCTACATACTGGGTTAAGGATATTCCAGGTGAGAGGTCTCCCCCAAGACCCCAACCCAGGAAGTCCATCTCAATTTATCCATATGGTCATGTGTGCCTACCCTTTTTCTGGGCTTATTTTTTAATAACACTGCAGCCCAAAGATCAGGGTGGCCTTGGGTGATGCATGAGGGTGTGGGGCCTACTGAAAACTAGAGAAACCTGACCACTGGACTGGGTAAGCCTCTGACCTCATTTCCCCTCCGCAAACACTGGTGATGAGAGTCCCTGCCTCCTTGTGTCAGCCCTGGGGCTTCTTGACCCTGGCCAGAAGGGCAGGCCAACAGGCCAGACTGTGGACCTGTAGGAGGGAAGAAAGTGTCAGACAATCAGAGCTTGTCATAAATAGCCCCCCTCTCCCAGAAGTCGTCCCTGGGTTCAAGATCAGCGCCACACACAGAATGAGAGCAGAGACACCAGCTAGGAGAAATAGGCACTTAGGGGATCTGTTCATTAGCATGAAATGCAAATGAGCCCAGCCTCATTTGCACAACTCGGTGCCCGGATTCAGCAAAAGGGCAACCGGGAGGCGACAGGCGAAGAGCTGTTCTGCCCTCCTCACCCGACCCAGCAACCGGCTGGCGGGATCTGAGATGTCCCCTACCCCCCATGCCGTGGTGGGAGGACAGCAGGGGCTGCGTGGGTGGCACAGCCTTAAGAAAGCGGGAATCCGGGGGTACCAGAGGTCAACCAGACCACCCTCGGTGTGTCTACAATGGTGTGAGCGCCTCGGATCTCCGGGGAGAACTGACTGATCCGGTGGGTTTTGCCACTGGGTTTGTATCTCCCGTAGACGTTGGGGAAATGCTACTTAGCGTCTAATCCTCGATGCCCTTTCCCCTCCCCCACGCGCCTAGCACTCCAGTGGCGCTCTGTTCTTGGGTACTCACAGCTTTCTGAGGTGTGGACGGTGGGAGAGAGCTAAAGCTGAGTCCGGAACTCAGAAGGTGAGGCGGGGCGAGTGCCGGTGTCTGCGCGTGCGTATGCACGTGTGAGAAGCACAGACCCGCAAGGACCCACTACCCTAGAGTTGAGGTGAGTGAAAGGAACAGCACCGCGAAGCTTCGGTCCTGCGGACAGCCCTCCCCTAAGCCATATTGGGGCTTGAAGGGGAAAATATGAGGTACAGAGTTAGGGGACGTTGGTGGGATTTTGCAGCATTAAATGGTGGAACCCAGCTCTGTGTTGCCACTGCCTTCCAGACATCCGAGGCCCCCGCAGGTCCCCACTCAGGGGATCCTCGCTCTGCTCTGAAGCTGTGCCTGGAGATCCAGGCTCTGCTTTCCGGTGCGACCTATCTGGGGCTACGCTTTCAAGTACGAAACCCCTTCGTGATTCCAAGGGACAAAGGATCCTTAGGGACAGGGGACGAAGCTCGAGCATTAACGTGAGGTCGGAGCCTAGGGGTTAGGGTTAAGAGGTCAGGGTCAAAGTTCAGAAAAGAGCTTGAGAGAAGGACTTTTAAACCCAAGACTATTTGACGAAGGCCACGCCCAGACCATGCCCACCTCTGTCTTTCTCAGGCTCCGCCTGTTTCCCCAAGACCTGCCCCCCTAGTCTGACGCCCAACCCCCGGGAAGTCCTGCTCCGCCTTCCCTTTTCCTAGTCCCACTTCTGGGTTCAACTACAAGGTGGGCGATTAACCAGGTGGAGACCCAGGATTTCGCTCTGAGACTGTGATCACACTCCCACCCCTTGCTTCCCGCATCCCTTCTTCTCCTGTACAGAGCTGAGCTCCGCCCTCTGGCTGCGATCCAATTCGGGGGGTCCCTGAACAAAGAATGCCGGGGAACTGTGGTGCTACCCCAGCAAGACCCCACGCCAAATAGTCTGAGTCCCCGGGGCTCCCTTTAGGGGAGTCCCGAAGACCTCAGCGGCCAATTGGAAAGTGGGTTCGGTCTGGGCAGCCGTCTGATTGGCTCCAGCCTTCTGGAGCGGACCCTGGGGCAAGGGGAGGGGAGAGGGGCGGTCCTGGGATTTGGGATGGGAAACGGATTCCAGCTGTGGTTGTTTCCCCGGGCTCCCCCGCCCGCACTGCCACGGCGACCGACCAATAGGCACGCGGCTCGGGGCCGGCAGCGCGCGACGATTGGTTTAGAGATTGGCTGGGGAGAGGCGGGGCCGAGGCTTGAAGTTGGAGTGAGGGATCCAGCTGTGGTGTGCGCCGGGCTCCTCGCCGCCGCTTTCGCTTGCTCGCTCCGCGTCTCTGCCGGAGGAGGAGGCAGTGGCGCCGGCGACAGCTACGGCAACGGCAGCCACCGCGGCGGCTGCGGCGGCGGCGGCGGCATCTCCGCCTCCACCCCCGCCCGGGACGGCCCCCCACGGTCTCCCCGCCCCTCCCGGACTGTGAGCCCGCCGTGAGGCGGAGGAAGGAGCCGCCCCCCACCCGCTCCAAACCCACCCCCAAAG